AAAAAAAAAAAAAATGATGTCTGAAATTTTGTGCCAGTGAACACAACATCTCCCTGGGCCTCCAGCAATGATCTTCTTATGCATGTGAACTGAAAACTTAAAACGCTCTTTTTGGACGATCAATATTTTCTACTTTTCTGTCTTTTTGGTGTGTTTTTACCTCTAACTGGGATCAGGTTTTCTTGCCTTCGACGATCTTCACTTTTATCATTTGGTTATCGGTATTTTCTACTTTTTTTTGTCTACTTAATGTCTTTTTCTCTCTCGGATCTAATTTTCTTGCCTTCTACGATCTTCAATTTTATCTCATATACCCTCAAGCAACTCACCTCTAAAGGATTTTATCTCATATAACCTCCAAGTAACTCCATGCAAAAACCTATAAAAGATTACTCTTATAGACAAAGAAACCTACATAACAGAAACTATTATTAAGGGATTATGAACAAATGTCCAGAAATTACAAAATTTAACCATATAAAATATAGTGTTTGACTCTATTAAAAAATAACACGAACAACTTGTTTTTCGAAAACCACAAAAAAATCAATGTTTTGTGGAATTATGAAAACAATAGCTAACATCAAACACAAAAGCATGAAAAAAAAATGACAATATGCATGCCAAAAAGCAGAATCAATTTTGAGTAAAGAACATATTGAGTAGTGAACACAGTGGAGCGTCAATATAAATGAGAAGTTGATCATAACAATGTTGAGTGGTGAACATATTAAAGCAGATGAAACCAACAAACAACCCCAAAGGAAAGATGGGAAACATATCTCAGTTGGAACAGTACAGGATATAATCTCTACACATAAATGATACGATTAAGACTATCAACGAATATGGATAATATAACTACAGAACATAGTGTCAAGGCTTATATTTAGTTTACCCTAACAAGCAGACCATTAGATCCTTAATTGAGTTCAAGTATATGAAATTAAAACCCATATAAGGGCTTAATAGGGCTTTGCTACTGCGTTCCCCATATGTTCTTAACTAACCTCTTGCTGATAAACATATATGCACTTGTCCGTAAGAAATGATCTCACCATAATCTTTTGAGCTCACGAGAGATATATCCATCAATAATAGCAACTTGTTCTGCCCCTTGCAAGAGACACTAGGCAACATGGGAGTCACGGCAGATAACTTTAGATCTTTTTCACATATTGGACTTGCGTTCCCACCTTTCCTTTACGTCAAGCCTAAAAGGTTGGCAAAGAAAAAGCAAAACTTCAAATACAGAGAATATGAGTGGATTCTAATATATTATCAGCCTCTCTCCTCCTCACGGTGTTATATATATTCATTCATTTCATTTTCCCTATCGTTATTTGATTGTGTACTGTGAAGATAAACGTAGTATACATAAATGTCAACTAAAGTTCGAGAATACCCCCAATACAGCTTTTGCCGTTTGTTCGTTGTTGAGTTCCCGGCTGACTTGCTCCCTTTCTCGGGAGAAAGGTCTACTATTTCCCCTTTTGAGTTTGAAACAACTGCATAATTCCAAGCCGATTCGCAGGGTTCCGTGCACTCACGAGCTTCACCGACCTTCTTATGGGGTTTGCCTTTTCCATCTCCTAAACCAGTATAATTTCAACAATATTCATAACATATTGCTTAAAAAAATTGAAAAGCAGCGGCTCAACTACAAGACTTCGACACACCTTTGTCCTTCTCGCGCGCTTTCGAGTTGGCTTTGATTTTCAAACGCCTCTTTTGCAACTCCTAGTAATTTGTTTCGGACAAATGTAGCAGC